TGAAATTTCTCAGGACGATATTTTCAAACAGACAATATATCTAAGATTTGTTCTATATAGAATAAGAAGGATTAAGCCAGAGTTAAAAGTTAATCTAATAGAAAAACAGAACTCAATACATAACAAAATATTTTCCAAGAAGTTGGCTGAGAGACTACTGCACCACAGTATGTGCATTATAATTAGTATACTCTCACATGCAAGCTATTGTGAAAAACGTCTGCGCTTAAAATGCTTCCAACTTCTCGAACATTGACTCACCTTAACTTTGGCCCACTTGTTTCGGATCATTGCGTGATTTCTTCCGATCCATGTCTGACCGTTGTTCTCATTATCACAGAGATTATTGTTCGCGTCATCAATATACGCTTCAAGAGCTGCTTTGTTTTGGGCAATCTGAAAGAAAAAAACTTCCGCGAAGTAATTTTGAGAGTCGAAGTGCGAACAATGCGGCACTCCTCACAAAAAATGATCATGCCAAAAAAAGCTAATAAGGGAACTCAATGAGTGCTAAATGAAAGCAGACAATATTTGCTCTGAATAATTTTGCTATCTTTAGGAACGTTACAGAAATATCGAATACTACATAAATACTCGAAAAAACTGCTTGAAGTGAAAGAAACATAAGAGTTGGAATATGTAAGCCTTGTGATTTTACTTTTGAAAAATTCGCACTTCTTCAAAAAGGTTTGAACGTCGATCATACGTAAGTATATAGCAAAGAGATTTTAAGTTTTAGTTATCTCTTCTGAGCAGTAACCATTCTCCACGCTGTGACAATGAACACAAGGCAGGTTGCATAGCAGGGTGCAGCAGAGAAGAAATAAAAAATTGTATTAAAACCATGGAGGGCTTTTGAACATAACATGAACTTCTTTAAAATATTCTCTAAACCTTTATAGTAAGGCCTTATTTTAAGAAAAGTAACGCGCCACAAACTTCTAGCATCAAATATTATACTGGCAAGTGTGAAAAGGTAGAATTTCTAGCAAAAACAATTTAGTCAATGATCGACGTTTTTAACATCTCACAACTTTAGTGATTCAGAATGCATGGGCGATTATGCAAAAAGCATGTTCGATTGCAGAAAAATGAAAAAAACCTACCTCTGAGCGCAGTACTTTAAAATCGTCAAGCTGAATTTCTGCTGTCTCTGGAAGGCCTCCTGTAGGTTTTGTAGTTGCTAGTTGAGACTCAACATCTTCCAACCACACCATCCATTGCTCAGCTTCACGCCCCACTTTTTCAGCTTCCGTCTTCGCCTAAACATAACGTGCCTTCGACAAAATCCCACGTAAGATAAAGATGTACTTACTCTTTCCATCTGTAGGATCAACTTCTGCAAAACATCATTAAGCTCCTCCCACTCCCTATTCATCTGATTCATTTTCTCCAAAGCATCCGCATTATGGTCATCACGCATTAGTCGTTGAGCAGCAGCATTCAAAGTCGCAACGCTGAAAATAATATGTCACCTTACGCATTCGACCAACACCGACTGGCAGTTCTCAAGTGATTCAACAGGCAAACTCTCATTTCTGTCGCACTTTTATGATCGACTATCTAAACAGAGAACAGCATTGCCCGGAGAGAGCCTGCACAGAAAACAAGCAGAACTACATCATACGCTTTCAAAAGTACCACCTCTAAAAGCCATATTCCCGTCCCTTCGCTACGTTTCGGAGAGATAAAATTGCAAGACCTTGGGATGAAAATACCAAATTTCTCAGAATAAGGTGCCTTTAGGGCAAGCGCCTTAGCTGCTGTAAACAAAGAAACTACCTATATATTTTTGAGTGCAATTTGAACGCTTACTTTGGTTGCTCATGTAACTCAATTAGCACTGCTCTTATTTGTAATAACAACATTTTCGAGAAAAGAATATTATGAAAATATAAACA